AATGGACCAGGCAAGAAAATAATAACGAACAGCCATATACCAGAGACATTTTGTGGGGGTGGAGTGGGGAATGGGATCAAAAACAGGGGTGGGGGAGGGAAGTGCACAGGACTATGGTGATGGCACACGAGTGACTTGGTGATGGGAAGCCCACGGGGATTACAATTGAGATGAAAAAAAAGTACAAAATGATGTAAAAATAAATTATAATATTATTAAAAAAATCATGTTTTATACACTTCAGTAAAATCTTTGAAGATACAGCACCCAATGCAATGATAGTGAAGGAATGGATGAAAAGATGGGACTACATCAAGTTAAAGAGCTTCTGTACAGCAAAAGAGACATTACAAAAAATAAACAGGCATCCCACTGATTGGGAAAAATTTTTCTCACAGAAAGCTAGTGATAAAGGATTGATCACAAAGATTACAAAGAACTGGTGAAACTCAACAAACATAAACAACTCCATCAAAAAAAATGGGCAGAAGAGCTAAAAGGACACTTCTCCAAAGAGGAAATGCGGATGGCCAACAAGCATATGACAAAATGTTCAACATCACTTGTAATAAGGGAGATGCAAATTAAAACCACAATGAGATACCACCTCACCCCAGTGAAAATGGCACATCTTAAAACAACTAGCAATAACAAATGTTGGCGAGGATGTGGAGAAAAAGGAACTCTCCTGAACTGCTGGTGGGAATGCAAACTAGTACAACCACTATGGAAAACTGTTTGAAGGTTCCTCAAACTGCTAAACATGGAGCTTCCATATGACCCAGCAATCCCACTCCTAGTTATCTACCCAAAAAACACAAAAACACTGATTCAAAAAGATACCTGCACCCCCATGTTTATTGCTGTTTTATTTACAATTGGAAAGACACGGAAACAACCCAAATGACCAAAAGTAGATGACTGGATTAAAAAGATGTGTTACATATATACAATGGAATATTACTCAGCAACCAAAAATAAACAAACACATGCCTTTCGCAGCAACATGGATGAAGCTGGAAAAGATCATGCTTAATGAAATAATCCAGAAAGAAAAGGAAAAATACCGGCTGGTTTTACTCATAGCAGGAATATAACGGAACAGGTGAGAAAATAATAATAATGAACCAGAGACATTTTATGGGATGGTGAATGGGATCAAAAATGATGGGGGGAGGGAAATGCACAGGACTATGGTGATGGCACATGGGTGATTTGGTGAAGGGAAGCCCATGGGGATTATAACTGAGATGGAAAAAGGCACAAAATGATATAAAAATAAACTATTATGGGACCTCCCTAGTGGCACAGTGGGTTAAAGAACAGCACTGAGAAGCTAAAACCACTTCAGCATGAGTTCAGTCCCTACCCCGGAGGTGACCCACATGGCATGGCAGATCTCTCTTGACTTGCCCACTGCTCCCCTCAGTAGTATACTTCGTAGATCTGCCTGTTCTACTCCCCACTCTGTCTCTGGTGAATCCTCTCACTGCCCCTGCACATCTGGCCTATACTCCAGTTCTGTATGCATAACAAATAAATCTTAAAAAAAAAACACTATTATTTAAAAAAAATCATGTTTTAGTTCAAAAACACTTTGGCAATTTAGATGCTTTAGAGTCCTTTGTAATAATGCATGTGGGAGTTACTGTTTTTGAATTTTGGATTAAATATGGGAACCTTTATCATGTGTGAGTTTGTCATAAACAGAAGAAAGGACATGTGTGACTGATTAATTTTTATTCTAAATTCTCACTGTATGTGAAGAATAATTTTTTTCCTAAATGAGAACCACTTCAAGCTTTTTTTTTTTAATAACTTTTAGGCAAATATGACAATATAGAATTAAGAACTCAAGCATATGTCTATAAATGTTTAAACCAAAAGCTGAATGGGAATGCCACCCATAAGTTCAGCTAGGTCCTTAGAGTTTTGGCTGCTTTCTGCAATATGTAAATAATCATATTAACTCATAACTGATTAATCCATTATTAATTATCAATTAAAAAAAGGGAACCAGGAACCAGCAGAATCTGCAGATGTAATTGTAATGTTTCCAGAAGCATTTTCAGTATTAAATCTTAGATATATGCAATACACATTATATGTAAACTATCACAGAGTGAGGTGACAGGTCCAGTTAGCAAAGCACGGCCTACCACAGCGTCTGCCGCGTCTTCTCCATTAAACCCCTCCAAGCCATTCACCTAAAGACATAGTTTAACAAAAAACAATGCGCCTGCCGTGTTGAATATCTCAGCTCCATCTTCTAGTCAGTTGGCTACTCCAACGTCCTTCTCATTAGAAATTCTAGAGATCTCACTGGCTGCATTGGCATGCTCATCAGAGGCAAAACCACATGAAAGGATGCAACTAATCGTTTTTATGAGAAGTAATTATTATGTGCCAACTGGATACAGGTCCTTTAGGGTAGACACCATAGTCGGCCAAAGAGAAGGTAGGCAAGCAGGATGCCACCTCCTGTACTTCAGTCAGCAGGTCGGGCCTGCCTGTTCTCTCTCCTGGTTTTAGCATTATGCTCCTTCCCAGAAAGGACTGAGAATAAAAACGTCTCACCTGGCCAGGCAGTGAAAACTCTGACACACGGTGACTGATAGGAACAAAAACACATACATAGTAAGTACACACACACACACACACACACACACACACAGAGTCAACTATAATAAGACTTTTCTTCTGAGAAATTAACAAATATATTTGCCTTTGAAACATGCTTACTCAAATTACCAAATAACAGCATTTTAATGAAATGTCTATACACCAAACGAGAGAAAACTAGTACTGTTATCAGCCTCTTGCATAAATAATACTGCCATTCCCGTGACTAGGAAACCTGCTCCAAGCAATTACATTCCCATCATACAGCAGACAGCAGAAGTGATTGATGTTCTTTATCAAAACGTGCATTCTCCTCTTGTCTGATCTGAAAGATGCTATCTTAAAATAAAGATGCTATCTTCCTATTATTTCCATGGAGCAGTCACATACCAAAAATTATTCCTCTCTCATCATATAATGGCTACTCTTTATCTGCAAAAATGCTTGATTGTTAACTCAGAAATACATAAAAGAGAAAAATACTATCAATATTTCTTATTGTGTTCCTGATTATCAACCTCACCATTACATTCACAGAAGCCTTTCTTACAATTCTAATGTCCTTAATATTCTTAACAAATGCAAATATTTCAGTATAAAAAACATTCTTTTAAGCAGAGAGTTAGATTTTGAAGAAAGTTAAATAATGAATTAACATTGACACTCAGTACGCAAGCTTATTTTGCACCATTTAAATATTACAATAAAGATTTACTTACCTGGGAATATTCAAAGTCAGTGATTGGGGCTATACTCTTGATATAGTCTGACCGAAATTGGTTTTCTGGGTTAGCCAGTGGAACAGGAGGTATTATAGTACTCATTGCTGAAACAATTGTCTGAAATGAAATAAAGGAGAAAAAATATGGATAAAGAAAACAGTTTTGCTCTGTATACGATAATCTAAAATATATCAGTTCAATCTACTGATTTACTTTTTTGGTAAAACCAAAAAAAATTCCTTACCACAATAGCATCTTTAACATTTTTCCGGATGTCCAGAATTTTCTGCTTCTTTTCCCTACATTAAAAAAAAATTGCTATTAATTTAATTTACCTTTGACACTGACTTCGTAATCAATGGAGTGGGTTTAAGCTTCCAGCTGCAGCATAGGGTTGGAGTGATTTTACTAGGTCAATATCAACCCTCCAGAGCTGCAAGATCTGCAAAGTTTTCATCCAGGAGGGGAAAACATCCTCCATTTCCAGTTTGCATCCACACAGATTATACAAAAATGGCAGGAAAAAAACTATAGAGCTATACTTGTAAATTACTTTTTGAATATTTTCACATTGATAGTTATGGATTGGAATAGATGCAGATAAACCACAGTGAGAGAAGCATAATGGTTACATCACACTTTATTAATATTACTTTATTTTATAAACTAGACTTTACTAGAAAAGCTATTTGTCTAATTAAAACAAATTCAACAACAAATTTCTGTTGTTAAAGGTCTAGCTAATGACCAAAATAACTGTTCAAAAGAAAACACTTTTGGGAAGACTGGGAGACAAGTGACAAAGTTGCAAGCAGTTTGGAAGCATAACTGAAATGGATCATTCCTTACTCTGGATTAAAGCCATTTACATGCAGGATCCTCATCTGTTTGACGATAGTGCTTTTCCCAGATTCACCAGCTCCTACAAATAAACAAAAAGAATGTTGGGATTTGCAGCGTGATGCCTTTGCCATCTCACGCCAACCCAGACTGAGCAATAATCCTACCCCTACTCAGTCATTTCGAGCGCAAGCCAGGTCTAAGCTGGAGCAGCTGGAGACCTAAGGCTCGGTCACTCAGCGGCGCGCGAGGCTCCCGCCCGGCCCAGCCCGCCAGGCCCTCGCGCCAGCGGCTCCAGGCTCGCGCTCCGCTGGGCCCCGAGCCGCCTTACCCAGTAGCAGCAGGCGGTGAGTGGCTTTGTAAGCCAGGCGCTCCTTTTGCAACTGCTTCTCGATTTTCTTGTTAGCCTCGCGTCTTTCTTTTTCATCGACGCCCTGGTCTTCTGCTGTCTTGCTGTTACCCAAACACCCCATGCCTGCCCGCTTGGATGGACGTCAGACAGGAATGTGCACAAAAAGCAATAGACTTGCAGATGTTTGTGGGTCCTGTGACGTCTTCTCTTCCTTGCTGCTGAAAAAGCTGGTCTGGTCTTGGTGTTTTCCGATCAGAGCAGTCGTCTCTTCTCCCTCCCTCTGCCCACCGCAAACTCCCAGCTAAAAAAGGATGCAAGGAAGACGCTCGGAGTCAAACTGTTTTTTTTTTTTTTTTTTAAAGATAACTATTTAGAATGATCTGCGGCCCTAAATGATATAGGGATTGGGACCGGGCCTGAGAGAGCGCGGGGCTGCGCTGGAGCCAGCTGAGGTGGCGCTGCGCCCTCCGCTCACCCAGCGCCGCGCGCCCTTGCGGAGCTCGGTGCCCTCAACCCCGCCCCCGTGAGGGCGCGCTGCGCCGGGTGCCGGGTCCCACCCGGGGTGACCGTGCGCGGCGCGGAGGGATGGAGCGTGCCGCCCGGTCCCGGCAGGGCGACCGTGGCCACCTGCAGCTGCCCGCGCAGCTCTGCCCGCGCAGTCCGACGCACCACCCTCCCCGGCTCTGCGCTCCCCCGGGGTCTCCGCATAGAGGGAAGGGGAGCTGGCAGGCTCAGGGGTGGTGGGGCTGGGAATGCAGAGAGGCGCTAGCGCCCACGGCTCGGAGGGGCAGGGAACTGACCTCTAGGAGCCGACCCGCGGGGCGCTCACCCGCGTGGGGTCCGGACCGCGGCCGCGTGGCGCTCTCGCACCCCGAGCCCAGGAGAGTGGGTCTGGGCGCGCGCTCCCCTACGTTCCCTCCGACGCCTCCCTGCTCGCAGGCAGGCGAGGACTCGCGCAGGATCATGCATATTCTATCAGGGAGGAGGATCTGTAAGAGGCTCACCAGTCACACCGCCTTTGTTGCGCTCATTTTCTAGACTATTCCAGCGCACCCACGCCGCCGCCTCCCTAGCCTTCTGTCTTTACCTCCAGCCCCCGTTTCTCCTTTGGAGTTCTCTAAACAGCTCTACTACTTTTCTAGAAGGCACTGTGGCCTCGAACTTGGCACTGCATCCCAGAAACAAACGGAGGACTGGAGACTGGCCAAGGTCTCTAAGAGTGCGAAGTCCCCTCCAGTCCCTCATCATAGCTATAGCCAGCCCATGTGGGGGCGTTGTCTTCACTTGGCTGCACGTGGGAGAGAAAGGGCCACCGAAGTGAGGGGCCAGGAGTCGCGGGGAACCAGCACTGATCACTGGACAAGATCATTTCTGTGTGCCATGCTGTAAGACGTGGTCCCTAGGGTCATGGGACCTGGGATGGTGCCCTAATTCTTTTATGGGCCCTTTGCCTCCCTCAGACCTCAATCCCTCACCTTCCTCCAAACCCATCATACCTCCTCTCTTTAGGCCTGGACTTCTCTTTCACAGAAAACAAATATCATCTCCAGTGGTGCACTTACTGGACTGCCATGCTTACTCTGGGCTCCCAGGGGCTTGGTGGAAATCACTTTGCTTCTCCTCTGCCTCTTCTGTTTATCAATCTCTCCCTTTTCTATTTCCCTGTTCATGAAGAGCTCACATTCAATTCTGCCCCCAATTAAATCCGAGGGTACCAATTTTGGTTTCATCGGTTTTTCTCCTGCCATCCATCCTCAAGAGTGAAAAGACAAACTGATCTCCTTATTCTTCCTTACTTCTGCTCACGTTTCAGCTCTTGGTCCCTGGCTTAGGGCCCTTTTCTTACACAGAAAACACCCCACAGGCGACCTGATCCCTCTCCCACTCCACCGCCCCCCCCCCCCCAGGACTAATCCATACTTCTTTGACCTCTCTCTGGAGACTCTTGCCCTTTGGCTTCCACTCCCTGGCTATTTCATTTCTTGCTCACCCTCTGACTGCATCTTGGCTCCTCCAGGGAGCAGAACCTTCTACTCAGTCTTCCCCTTTTTAGGTGTATGGGCTACTGGCAGGGTCCCTATATCCTCCTTACTGTGTGCAAAGGTTCTGACAGTGTGTCTGACCTCCAGTGCAGCCAGCCTCCTGTCTCCTCCACCCCTAGCACCTAAGTCCACTGCCACTTCCATGCCTCACACTGTCTCTAAGGACTGAGCTCCTCCGCTCTCCTTATACTTCAAATCTAATCCTTTCTCTTTCCTCTCAGGCCCCTGGATTTCCAGAGCACAATATGGCAATCATCCTTGACTTCTTTTTCTTCATGCAAACTCCCAAAGCTACTGTGTTCCACTGGACCTGTGTCCAAAACACCTTTCCTGACCTTTCTACTGACAAAGTCTTCAATTGTGAATCTAGCATGGATTTTGAATCACTTTGTCGCCACAGTGACAAAAATCTGACTATGTCACTGTCCCCCCCGCTGCCCCCCCCACATACTAGCTAACAGAAATGGTCCTCCCCACTGCAGTGATATAAACTCCAGCCCTCCTTCTCCTGCTTGCTCTCTGAAAACAGCTCTTTTAAAACTCCACTGGATGTTGGGCTCCACAAGGCAGGGGCTGAGTCTGCCCTGAGCCGAGTTCAGTGCCTGGCCCTGAAGAAACGGGGCTTAATGGGTGCCTGAATCCCTGAGCCAAAGCTAGCTTCTCTTCCAAGTGTGGGATCTCTTTTAAATTAACAAATTATGCATCCAGTTTAGCGCTATTTTGAAAATAAGACTACTTAAAAAAAAAGATTTATTTATTTATGTATATAGAACTGGGGTATAGGCCAGAGATGCAGGGGCGGTGAGAGGATTCACTGAGACAGAGTAGGGAGCAGAACAGGCAGCCTGATGAAGTACACTGCTGAGGGGAACAGCGGGCAGGTCAGGAGAGGTCTGCTGTGCCATGTGGATCACCTCCAGAGCTGGGGATTGAACTCATGCTGAAGTGGCTTTAGCTTATTAGTGCTGTGCTTTATCCCGTTGCGCCACCAAGGGGGGCAAAAATAAGACTACTTTTTAAAAAGACAAGTACTATTCTTGTCAGAAGCAGAAGCAACACGGTACGCTACAGTATGGGAGCAAGGGAGAACTCTGGCATTGTGGCTGAGACTATGTTAGCACCACTGTCAGGTCCACACTGTGTGAATGGCCACGCACCTTCACACATGGCTACACTGCCAGCCTGGATGATGGCTAAGGAGGTGGTCAGAGACAAATATATATACATATATATATGATTATAGTGGAATGTTTTTAAAGATTTGTCGGTTGTCTTAATGCCAGGAATTGTATAAGTTGTTAATGGGAAGAAAAGGGACAAAACAAATCTCATGAGTACTTATAAATGAGGAATTAGAACCCAGAAATCATACTTCTAAGGCAACCCACTATATTCAGTTATCCTACAAATATAGCAAAAAGTTTCCACTTGTTTAGCTCTAGAAATCAGAGTAAGAGATAGCTTTTTATAATGACATGATTTTAAAAAATGCTATAATATACCCAGAAAGTTAATGCATGGATAATACAATTATAACTTATACATGCAAAATAGCTTCTTTTAAGGGGAAGGCTGTCCTAAAGGAACTCTGCAGTTTTGTGGACTCCACCCCTACTCCAGCTTTCTGGACTCCACCCCCTACTCCAGTGATTGGAAACTTCAACTCCCAGCAGTACCAAGGAGAGAACTGCGAGGACCCAAGGGCGGAGCTAAGCAGGCATTGTGGGACTTTGGGGGATAAATAGGGAGCCATTTCGACTCTAGACTCTCGCTCTCTCACTCAGAAATGGCTCTCGGAACATGTGACTGGGGGCTGTTAGTTTGTTACTAGAGCTCCAAGTCTGCTGCCTGATGGTAAAATATTCTAGTTACCTTGTGTCTCCCTTTCCCTGGGTTGTTCCTTTTCCTTTTTCCTTTTGTAAATAAACCCATTACTGACCCTTTTGTGTGTGCCTGCAGTACAACTAAGTTTTAAGCATGGGTGAGGACACATAGACAGGCAGCCCAGTTCAGACTGGGGGGCTCTGTAACACTTGTACTCCTTATCTAAAGATTGCTGGCATTGGGCTAATGGAATAATTTATTTAATAATAACTTATTAGTATTTTTAATAACCAAAAATGAGCTATTATCACCATTATATTATCGAAGCTTAGAGAGGTAAAAAAGAAGCATTAGCTGTGTGTAAATCCTGTACCTGGCTGCAGTATTTGCATGCTATGATCTACAGTGTGGCCCAGAATGCAATGCTTTGAATACTCTAAATCGTAAGGACAAAGTCCTTTTATAAAGTGATGCAACGTTTCTTAAATGCAAAGCCAATCTTGCTCAAGTTACCTTGCTTGTTGTTTTCCTTTTTCTTTCCTCCATGCTCACCCCCACCCCCTTTCTTAAACACAGTCACCCTTTTCCTCCTCGGGTCTAGAAAGCTGATGTTCATTTGGTTTTGAGCCATGGGATCAGAATGCAGAGCCCCAGCTGGCTCACCTGGATTGGCGGGGGCGGAGCTGTGGGGGAGCGGGCAGAACAAGTCTAGAGCTGCAGGCTGTGCCGGCGTCGGTTGCCAGGCAACGGCAGAGCCATGCAGCCAGACACCTTGAGGCTCACATCCAACCGCTGAGATGGAGGGATGACTGCTCTGAGCACAGCTGCTGCTGAGGGAGGGGCGCCGTCCACTGCAGGTTGGGG